CTCGAAATCATCTCACACATTGGGAAACAGGCAGAGATGCTTTCCAGCACTGCACAGCAATGCCCATCCATGTGGCAAAACTGGGGCTAAAACCAGCTGTTCTGATTGATGAGTCAAAGCATGAGCTAGACAATACTGCTTCTTGCCTTTTTGGTCCCTGGCACCACACAAACAACACCTAGGACCAGAAAACCTTTCATTCCCTCCAGGCTGCAGCCGAGGCACGCAGGTGGAAGTTTGCTCTGCTTCTGCTCATGGTGTTTGGGTAAATTAAGGACTTTCTGCTCTAGAGCACATTTAGCCAGCATGAAACCAAACAGAAATAGCATTCTCCTTGCTGAGTTCCCTTACTCCCCCCCCATCTCCATCATACCCTCCCCCCCCCTTCCTAGCAGCTATTTGTCTCTCCCCATCTAGCCCCTGTGAACTGACTGTATTTAAATGCCCTTGACAAGGTGCTACTTGGCCAGGCCTGAAAAGCAGGGGGTGCTAAGCGGTGCTGATGATGACCAGGTGTGTTTGAGGCACAGGGTCCACTTGAATCACTGCAAAAATTTGTGAGCACAGCGAATAGGCTGGGGGAGGTGGATGTTGCTCTTTGCATGGAGCTGCAAAGGAGGCATGTGGCAGAACAGGGACTCTCAGGGAGGCACAAAGCAGTGAGCAGATAACTGCGTTTCTTCAGGCGAGCCACCTGCGGGGGGAGGGTCAGGAGGACCCAGTAGCTGACCCAGGGGCTGCTGCTTTCCCTTTCCATCAGGCCCTGCTGCAGACTGGCCATGGGCTCTGGTTTCCAGTGACTTCCTATGCCTGGTCCACCCAGAGCTGCAGAGCCCATGCTGGCCCTGCTCTGCCCTGCCACCACCACAAGAGCTGTGGCACCCCTGCCCTGCAGGCCTGTGCCAGCTGCTGCCCCCACATGTTGCTTCCATGGGTTTAGATGGCCCCTGTGCAGGGGCTCCAGCATTAGCTGGCTTGGCAGGAAGGCCAGGATGAGAGGTGCTGGGGGCCAGCAGGAGTGAACTGGGTTCCTGAGTGATGACTGCAGCAGGGAAAGCTGGAAGGGCCACCAGCCCCTCTGTCTGCCTTGCAAGCTGCAGTGGCTGCTGCTCCTCCGCTGTCAGGGAACATCGCACTCCCAGTCCGCAAGCAGCCAGGGGGGCATCTCACCTTCACTGTCTCCCCCCCCCCATTAAATCCAGGCTAACATTAAGGACCTTCAGTTTAGCTGAGGCCTCTGAACTGCTGTTATACGTTACAGCCACAGGTCTCAGAGCTGAGTGGGTGATCAGAGGCACTTTTGCTTTTATAGATGGGGAAGTGAGGTTCACAGCAAGGATCTATCTTACTTGCAGTCACACAACAGAGCTAGGAATAGAGTATAGATCGAACCCAGTGCCCCATCCATGATATCACCTGATCATTTTAGCCTCCCTGAGACAGTTGCCTCTGTAGACACGTGGTGTTCAGCCCCTGAGATATCACTTCTGAATACACCTCAATGAATGAAGCCTCCCAGTATTGTGGTGGAGTGGCTAAATATATCCAATTTGCAGGGCTTGAGCTAAAAAGTCACTAACTGCATTAAACTTCATGCAATAAAATAAGGAACAGGCCCAGTAAATTCTTGCTTTGCACTTTTGAGCCTACCATTGTCCAAACTGCTGAGCTGCCAAGGCTACTGCAGTCTGCATAGAGACGCTAACTGGCTGCTTGGCTTGTTATGTGGAGGCAAGGGGTGCCATCTGCTGACCATCGGGCACACAGCGCAATGCAACAGCCCAGTTCAGTCCAATAGCACCACTGTGTGGTTTCACTGGCTCCCTGCTGGAATTATGCTGCAGGTTGTATTAATGGAATAATGAAAGCTATTTGCTTGTGAGCTGCAGACGTTGCAGTGGATGCATTTGTCCAGGGCAGCTGGACCTGGAGTGTGCTTTGCATGTCCTTATCCAGCTGTTGAAGAATGCAACTGGAAGTGCAAAAGTGAATGGAATTGTTTCCTCCCCAGTCATTCCTCATTTGTCCTGTGTGACAGGCAGAGAGGCTGCAGAACTTATTTGATACATACAATCCTTATGGCGGATGCTCCCTACTCAGAATGGATGAGATTCAGTGTTTCTTGGTTCGGAGGCAGAGAAATCCTCCCCTTGCTCTGACTGACCTGATGCCGGTGCCAGTTGTGCTGTGGAGAGGCCCAAGGCTGGAGTCTCAACAGAAAGGAATAGTGCTCTGTCCCTAGCTTGCTGGGAGAGAAAAGCAGGTTGGGAAGGTCTGTGAATGTTATAAAGTGCTTTGGCCCAAAGGCTCTGGAGATGCGTGCTGTATTGAGAGTAACAGTGAAAGCACTGACTTGGGTGATGAAAAGGAACCAGCTTGGTTTTCCATGTCGGGTAGATCCGGCCCCGTCTGCTCTGCAAGATTAAATTTATTTCCATCCTCCTAACTGAACTTTCTTTAAATGGCGTTGGGGTGACAGGGACTGAAATAGATTTCCTACAGAGGCCCTCCCAAGTGGCACTGGACCCAGCATGACTCTTGATAACCCTTATTCCCTGCCCACGGACGTTATCTCTGTGGTGACAAACAGCCCTTTCTGGACAGAAGGAGGAAATTCCACTCATTATTCAGCAACTGTTGGAGCCTGACTACAGTGCTCTATCTCCTGTTTGGTACACCACTGTCAAGCTGTCATTGTCAGGCATTTCCTTTGCTGACAATCAATGCGAGACTTATAGGAAGAGTATGCTTCATTCCTGGATGCCCAGTGAGGTCCCAGCATGATCCAGCTCCAGATAGCAAATAAAGGTGTGATGGTTCATTTTAACTATGGTCCCACTGGCTTGAAGAGTATCCCCCTCAGCTTCTCTTCTCTGTGCAATACTTTCCGTCTCATAGACTATGCTGCATGCAAACAGATGCCAGGGGCTATGACCACTCTACACCCCTGGGTTGTCAAATGCGGAGGGGGTGCTAGTTAAATCCTTGCTAGATAGGAAGGATGCTTCAAGATGGTTCCAGTACAGAAAACATTGCCTAAATAATCTATATGATCATTAGCACTTTCTCTGGTGTAGCATGGCCTTCTTAGGAGCTGTACATGACAGAGGATGAATGTGAGCTAATACAAATTATACTACAGACCTCTGCACCACGTAGCATTCAGATAGCGAGCACATTTACACTAGTGTATCTTACTGCAGTTTTGTGTACTGATGGAAAGTACACCAGGTTCAAGAGGAGACAGACAAGAAGGCATTTTGTAGCAGCTGTTCATATAGGCTGTTAATTCAGACTTTCCCAATAGGTTGTGAGGAGCAGGTAATAGCTAGCAAATGGTTACCCAGGGATAGAGCAAACAATGATAATAAAATTTACAGTGCTGTCATTTTATTCCTGTTTTTTCCTCAAAGTAATTTGAGACTAGATTCTAGTAGGTGACTCTGATGTTGGGTTGTTTGCCATCCATCTGTTCCTTGCTTTCACCAGCATAGAGGCTGATCATTACACCCGTATATGTGTGTTGCCTCTTGAAGCCTTTCAACAGTGTAGTGCAGGGAATCAGGCATCAGACTGGAGTCAGCAGACCCAGGGTCTGATCTTGGCTCAACCTGTGACCTTCAACAAGCTGTTTCCCCTTTTTGTGCCTCTATTTCTCCATCTGTAAAATGGGGACAAAGATGCTTGCACTTTGGAAGCAGATATACGTGTCTCAGAAAGGCCTAAGTAGCATTTCCACTGGTGGACTGACATAGCATTTGAAGACTGCAAAATATTATGGTTCTTGTGAGCTTAATGATTAGCCTCATTTTTTAGAGGACTAAACTGAAGCATGGAGAATAAAAAAAGACTTGCCTTATTTCAAAGCCAGGGAGAACCCCAGCTCTCTCACTTGCCATTGCAATGATTTAAATTACTAGACAAGACTCCCTGTCCTTGTATTACCAAGTCAAGGAGAGCTGAGTAGGAAGATGGTGAAAAGAAGAGTCTGTAACACCTGCCTGATAAGCTAAATTCTGGTTTGTCCTTCACTGATGTTCTGCAGGATCAGGATGGGGAGAGATACCTTCCCATAGCCAGTCCGTCTGGACAGGACTTAAAAGGAACAAGAAAAGGTGGGTGGTAAGTCTCTAGCTTTCCTTTCTTCTTTCAGCCATTGCACCCCCTTCTCTTGTTCATTTTTTCCTATTTTTATTTATTTTCCCAAATAACTCCTTATTTCATTCCTTTGGCTCAGTAGGGGTTTAGGGAGAGATGTCACATCTCCAGTAAATAAAGCAAGGGTGCAAATGCCAGGAAAAGTCACCAACCTGGTTCAGAAAGGACATAAGTATCAGCAAAGGGGATAGAATAGAAAGTATAGACTAAGCGCCAGAAGAAGCCAACCTTGCAGTGAGATCTCTTATTTTTTACTGTTGTGTATTTGCATTGCTCTAGTCCTGGAGCAGTGTTTGTGTTTGCACCAGTACTGTACACAGCACAGAAAAGCAGTCCTTGCCCCAAAGAGCTTACAGTCTCGGTACCTTGATGGATAGTCTTCTAATGGTAGGATGGGAGCCCCATTGCTCCAGACCTTTTAGACAAAGCTGGAGAACTTACAATAGAGAACCACCTTGCACCGGCATTGGAGTTAATTGGTCTTTTCCAGCTGTAATGACCTGAATTAGCTTCCATTGAAGCCAGTGGGATTCCTTTCATTGGCTCTAATTAGGGTTGAATTTGGCCTTACTTTCAGTGGCTCTTTAATTTTTCATTTTGTTGGTTAGAAACAATAGCTTTCTGGTTGAATTCAGGACACATCCTAATATCTGTCTTCTGCTGGGAACAGAAAAAGGGAGCTCACCTCTCCTTGGGCAATGCCATTACTGCTCTCCAGGGATGCTGTACAGGTGATAGCACTACAGAAGCAAATGGGAGCTAAACTGGGTTGCAGGGGATGAAAAGCAGGGTGGTCAGGGTACTACTAGCCTTGTACAAAAAGTATGTTGGCTCCATTCCCTACTCTCTATCAAGCCTTGAACTTAGGGCCTTGGTCATAGGGCCAGCACAGCTGCTTATCCTAGGCTACCACCCTGACTAGGCAAAGCTGCCCTGAAGCCTCTATCATGATCTAGCCCACCACCCAGTCCCTGTCACCAGAGTGGCTGGGGGGGTTCACATGACCCTCCACTCCCCCCATATAAGCTCCTGAGCAGGAACAGGAAGTGTCTGGGCAATAGGGTTTAGCTTGGATCTGGATTGTTTTTGACTTGTTTCTAGATCCTGCTCACAAACTGACCTCCTGGCCTCTCCCTGCATTCTGCTTGCTCCTCCTGACCCTGGTTGGTGCCTCGATTCCCCAGGTGCCCTATCACCTGGCATGACATGCTCATACAGACTTCTTGTGTGATCCTGGGTGAGTCACTTAGGGTGAGCTTCACAAAAAAAAAATTAGGCACTTAAACCTAAGACTGACTTGGGAGCCCTCTCTAAGCCTGGGCCAGAAAACCTCCGGAGGTGCCTTGTGCAGGACTGTAGGTGCCACCAGCTCAGTGAAGCGGGCTATTCTCCACTTTTGCTGTTGAAGTGGATCCACTGTACTGCCAATGGTAGAAGAACTGTAAGCCCAGAAGAGAAACAAGCTGGACGGATGCTGAATCTAGCCTGCGGATGAGCGGCGTCTCCCAGGAGCAGGAAGTCAGAATTTTGGCCTTTGCTGCCAACAATCCCGCTGCATGGTGTGGCACCACATTTGAAACCAGCAGTTCTTTATAGCTATCTACAATGGGAAGCAAAGATGATCCTCCTACTCGCAAGGAAAAATGTACATAGCGGGGGTTGGAGAAGTGGAAACAAAGTCGAAATTAAGGAGTGGCTAATCTTTATGCTTGGGACTGAGTTGCCTTTAAAGTGCTTTACAAGCCTTAAGTAATTGTTCCTTACAGCATCCTTGCAAGGTAGTAAGTGCTGTTTTCCCATTTCCAGGTGGAGAACTGAGGGTGTAGACAGCTGATTTACTATCCCAACACAAAAGGGGGTGACCATGCACATACCCATATGTCAGCAGCCTAGTGGTAGCCATCAGCAGTGTAGTGACATGGCTGGGCACCCAGGAACAGAGACAGCAGTGACTTCTGGTTGCCTCTATGCTGCAAATGTGCTTGCAATTGCATAGCTGCCAAGAGCAGCTGTTTCTTTTTTCACCCTCTCCCCTCCCACTGCAAGTTGGCACCTGGGGCAATTGCTCTGCCAGTTATGCCACTGGAACTGCCCCGTGTATGCTCCTACCCAACAGCAGATGAAAGCAAAACTGCAGTAGCTTAGCCTTAAGCAAGGCTTAGCATCTAGCCCAGAGGCGCTAACACAGAGCAGTTAACGTGGTAATTCCTGAGACATTTTTACATGTGCTCTGGGACATGACACCGGGCGCTTTTAGTGAGCCGTGCTAATTAAAAGTGCCCATGCGTCACGTGTATCAGCGTCCCTGCACTGAAAAAATGTCGGCAGGGCGCTTTGAACTAAAGTTCACCGAACGTGTTTTATTTCAAAGTGCTCCACCACCATTTTTGCAGTTCAGGGGCGCATGGGGACGCTGATACACGTGGCGTGGAAGGCTGCCAGAGCGCATCAATTTCCGTGGATTTCCAGTGCCCTGGAGCAGGCTCCCTGCACATCTGCAGGAGCCTGTGTATTCCCCAAGAAAGAGTATGTGGGCCTGAATTTTTCCACCTGAGAAAATACAAAGTTTTGACTTTTATCTGTATTTTGGTTGATTTCCTTTCCATCAACATGAAAAATGTTTACAATGAGAGAGATTCTGTTTTCCAACCTGTTATAAATACACCATCGTAACTCAGGCTTTGCCTTTGCCTCCAGCTATCCAGAAAGAGATCTCCCATTAGTACTTCACTAATCTAACAAGGGTCTAAGACACAAAGAAAAAGATGCTGGTGAAGGATTTTCAAAATTGCCTAAGCAACTTATCAGGCAAAGTCGCAAGTTCAGTAGAGAGTTCTGCATGTCGGGATGCAAGTTCCACTGGAAGTCAGTGGGACTTTGGCTTGCAAGTCTCATGGGTGTTTTTGAAAATGTTACCCTCTGCGTCTCCTTTTCACACTTTCATCCCAACAGCTGTTACTCTTCAGCACATCTGAAGTTCTTGGTATATTTTCATTTTTAGGCAGATTAGACATCCTTTTGACTTGTGTGACTCTGCTCACTGAAGCAAGAGTTGAATATTCCAGCTCAGCAGCTTTACTGGAAGTCCTGCAGGTATAAAAATATATCTTCTATGAATATGTATCTATATATATAGTTCAGTTAAATAGTGCCCCTGAGATTGCTGGTATGCTGATCTGCTTTGATTTAATGCCTTTAAGAAAATAGGTGCTATTTTAATATAAAAACAGCCATGTTCATTTTTTATTCCGTACTACTTGGTTATTTTTAGTGCTGAGTTTGTATTATGGTAAAAATTCCCTCGTCCCATGAGCATCCAAGGTTACATTTTTGTGTCAGTGATTTCATTGACTTCTGACAAGATGAAGCCGGGATTGTCATAACCTTTCTTTGCTATGGCTTTGGCTTCTTTCTCATTGTACAGACAAAAAGCGCAGTGAGGAGTCTCTACAGCCACAGTTTTGCTGAAGTTTTGGAAGTCCACTCGGTATTTCCCTTCCTTGGTTTTGGATACAATGGGAGCAAAGCGGTAGCCCCAGAGTACCTCCTCTGGGATGTAAGATGTCCTGACCTGACAGGTAGCACTAGTGGCTTCTACAGTGCCATCCAAAAACACCACCAGTTCAAACTCCTGCTGGAGGAGGGTTTCTGCTGTCATGCGGAAGAATGGGCTGGTCTTATCAATGACATGGTAAATAGTCAAGGGAGAGATGAAGAAGAGGTTCTCATTGCCTGCATCTACCACAAAGTCTACGTTGACCTGGTCCAAGACGATAGTCTCTCCTTCTGGTGTGATGGTGGTCTTCAGTAGCTTTCCATAGATGTGGCTTCCAATCAGCAAGCTCTTCCTGAGGTTGGCCACCCGGATGAGGAGACACAGCTTTCCACCCCGTTTGCTGATCACAGCATACTTACTGAAGGTGATAGTCTTGGCCCGTTTCTTGGACCTGGAAATCTTGGCCAAGATAGCACCACACATGAAAGAATTGATGATCACACCTAGGATGCATTGGAAAATCAGCAGGAAAATAGCAGTAGCACACTGCTCTGTGACGCACCTGAAGCCATATCCAATGGTTACTTGGGTCTCCAAGGAGAAAAGGAAAGCGGAGGTCAGGCCATTTATGTTGTCGACACATGGGGTGTGGTTGACAGAAGGATTGAATTCTGGAAGATCTCTGTGTATATACGCCACAACGTACCAAAGGAGACCAAACAGGAACCAGCTGCCTAAGAATGCTGAGATGAAGATGAACATTTTGTATCTCCATCTGAGGTCCAGGATGGTGGTCCATATGTCAAGCAAGAAGACAAACCTTGACTGTTCTTCCACATTCCCAAACTCTATGTTACATCTTCCATCTTTAGATACCAGCCTGGTTCTCCGTCTGCTGCATTCTGTCATGTGGGTGGTAAAGCGTTTCCGTAAGTATCTGAACATCCCTTCTGATTACAGCGGGATCTGAGGGGGGGTGGAAAACAATATACAATAATATATTATGGCTGGTACTGCTTTCATGTACATCTGCAGGTAGAGAAGTAACTCCTGCAAAAGACTTAAGATGCTGACCACTGTAGGTAAAAAGCTGTGATATTGGCCTTTCGCTATTTGGGAGGGATTCCAGTTTATATACATGAGGAATGCCCCAAGGAGCATTCCAGGGAAAAACTAATAATTGCAGTTTGTTCAATAAGCCTTGCAAACATGAATGAATTAAACTTCTTAACCCCGCCAAACCGGTTAGGAATTATATTCCTGTCTCCGATGAAGAAACCAAAGCACAGAAAGGAATGTGTGTAATGTGTGTAATAGCAGGTGGAACCAGGGAGCAGCCTGCTGAGCTATGAAGTCTGTTAATTTGGACTGCAGCTCCCAAAAGCCCCCAGGGGTTGGGAGCAAGGAGGAAAGGAAGAGGAGGCTGGAGTAAGGGGAAGAGAGAGTAGTGCGCATGTGGAAACTGGTCAACCCTGCACGGAGGAGTGCACAATGGAGCTGGAGATCGCACTGGCTCGGTCAGCCAGGACTGTGGACTGAAAAAACTGGACTCAGGATCGGGGGAAAACTAAAGACTTGTTTGGGGACACTTTCAGAGGTGTGTGGTGGGGAGGGGAAGCGGGGAATTAAAGTGCTGAGTATATGTTACCACAATCCCGCCCTTAGGTGGGAACTCCCCCTTGCTTCTTGTGCCAGTTTCTGGGGCTGCAGTGTTGGCACCAAGTGGTGGTAGCAGTGACATTCGGAAGGGGGGGCTCTCCCACAAGGGCCTGGTTCCACCTGTTGTTACACACATTACACCTCATTTCCCAAATGTATGTAGTGTCCAAGAGTTTCAAAAGATTGGGTATAAAGCTAACCATAGGATCATAGGAAAGTAGGACTGGACGGTATCTTATGAGGCCACCTAGTCCAGCACCCTGCTCAGGGCAGGATCATTCTTGATTAAACCATCCCCGCCAAGTAAGTATCTGTCTAGCCTATTCTTGAGGATTTCCAGGGATGGAGATTCCACAATTTCTGTAGGTAGCCTGTTCCGATGCTTGACCACCCTCATTATCAGAAAGTTATTCCTAATCTCCAACCTATTTTTCCTCTTCTGCTGTTTGAAGCTATCACTCCTAGTCCTGTCGCCTAGAGCTACAAAGAAAAGTCTAACTCCATCCTCTTCATAATGACCCTGCACGTGTGCAAAGACACTAATCAAATCCCCAGTCAGTCTTCTCTTCTTCAGACTAAATAATGTTAGTTCTTTCAGCCTTTCCCCATAAATCATGTTTCCCAGGTCTCTAATCATTTTTGTCACTCTATTAGACTCTTTCCAATATATTCACAACTTTCTTGACATGTGGGGCCTAAAACTGAATAGGGTACTTACACCAGGTGAGACCTCAGCAGCGCTGAATAAAGCAGAAGAATAACTTCCCTTGATTTGCAAGAGACACTGCTGTTCACCATGCCTTGGTCAAATAACATTCTTATGTGGGTAAGTTTTAGTTTTTCTGTAATCATATTTCCAGGGGCAAAGAGTTTCAGCTAAGCAACAACTAAAGTAAATATGAATGAAAAAATAGGCCCCAAAGGGAAATTTTCTTCCTTATGACTCATAGGCTGTTGCATCTCATAGCCTGGTACATCTCTAGGGACACTGGGTCCCCAACTGTGCAGTCGTGTGCATTTTGGAAGCTGGCAGCTAGGGTGATCGATGGTCTCTATAGAGGAAATCCAGCACTATAACAGCGCAGATCAGACTCTGGGACACTGGCAAAGCTCATGAATAGAACAGCCAAGTGATGCACAAGGGAGGTGCTTAAAGCTTTATGTGTGGATTAAGCTAGTTTTGTTGTAGATCTCTTACTGTCTCTGACATCAAATCAGCTGATACTAAAATGATAAGCATTTAAGATGCCGGTACTTCTGATCACTTTTGGGAAAGAAAAACAGTTTTAAATTCAGATTTTAGCTCCATAAGGCACAATCTTGTTCTCTCTCTATTCACTGGGATTTTGATCACTGACTTCCAGAGACACAGGAATGGGTCTTTAAGGAAGGCAGTGTTTTGCTGATAAGGGAGTTAAGGCAGCCCCAGTGGATCAGGCTATTATCTTAGCTCCTTTGCTTCTGCAGTGCTCTGGCTTGAAAGGGAAATGAATTGGATCTCATACTAATCCTCATGTCTAATATTGTTTTAGTACCTAATCTATGTATATCTCCTCTGGCCCAAATTGTGGCTGCAGGAATAGCCTCCCATCAGTAACCCAAGAGTCAGTGGCACGTCTATACATGACACTATGTCGCTGGAGCAATGCACTATGGCAACATGTCTACACGCAAAAAATGCACCGCCGCTGCTACGTCACCATAGCAATGCGCTCCTTTGATATAGTCCATTGCTACAGCGATGTAGGGACTAAAAATAACTGTGTGCTGCCAACAAAGTGCAGTATGGGCTGTCACTGCACCAGCATTTAGCACAGGGGTGAGCAAAATGCGGCCCATGGGCCAGATGCAGCCCACCAGGCCATTCTATCCGGCTTGTGGGGCCCCTAAAAAATTTAGAAATTTAATATTTATCTGCCCCTGGCTGCCTGTCATGCATCCCTCGATGGTTTGCCAAAACTCAGTAAGCGGCCCTCTGCCCAAAATAATTGCCTGTCCCTGATTTAGTACTTTCAAAAGGAAGTACTGAATGATGGCGCGGTAACAACAGCACCGTAGCGGGACATGTAGATGCGCCCAGCAGCAAGTTGAAGCCTACAACAGGAATTCCAAGTTTGTTTGCGGAGACGACTCCACTTCCAGGCTCATGACCCCACTTCCTGCAAGCCTGGGTGCTATAACTGAACTCCCATGAGTCTTTTGACCTTAAGTGCTAGTTTGGAAACCACTGCCCAAACATAAAAAAACATGACCTACAGGCTTTCCATTTTAGGACCCATATAGGGATTAGAGGGGGTAGCACAAAAGCATAGAGGTTGCAGTATGGTCAGCCCTCTAGAGGACTTTGTAGTGTACCAACATGTGTGCACACTCGTACTCACAGCATTTGTGTCCTTACCAGATATAATCAAGGTGGTGGTTATCTGCCAGCAGGAACATGAGTTTACATGAGAGTAAACTGACACTTCTCTGGCAACTCATTGCAAATATTCCCACCACAAGCTAGAATTTGGTCTTCTCTCTTTGTAAACCCATCCATTGGATAGGCTATTTGGAAATAGTGTTTTATGGACACTGTGGACAAAATATCATTCTGGGACATCTATTATGTCGGGGACATGTATAAATCCTATTCCATCTATTCTGTGTCTAAGTGAACTTAGGCACTGTGATCCTATTCCACTGCTCATGTCCCTAAAAAAACTGTTATCATGCATACCTCCTTTTGTAAGTATGTTATCAGCTATAAGACAGTGACAAAATGCAGTGGGCAGAGAAAGGACCCATCACTTCTTGTTAACTGTCCTTGAAGGACTCAAACAGGGCACCTAATTCCACTTAGACACAGAATAGATGGAATAAGATTTGGCCCTAGATGCTCTGCAAACCTATAGTCATCCACAGACCTAAGCCTGAGAACTACTGATGAATATGAATGCAGGGGCCTGTAACTGGGACATGCAGTGGAGCTGCACCTACCACGATATAATGGTAAAGACAGACTCCGCAAAGATAGAGGGTATACTACTGCTTACAGTAGTAAGCTGAGTTATTGGAGACCCTAAGTCAATTCACTTCCCGATCACAGGCTTCCTGTTTGGCTTTTGGCAAGTCACTGAGGCCCAGATTCTCAAAGGTACTTAAGTGCCTAACTCCCATTGATTTCAACGAGACTTAGGAATGTAAATACCTTTAGGATTTGGCCTTTATCTCTTTGAGCTTCAGCTCCTGCACTGCAGAGGGGCGAAGTTAAATATATTTAAGTTTGGGTGCATCTATATGAGACATAGTAAAGCATCACCATCTACACATGCAAGGGACTTACTGCGCAGTAAATTAAGCTAATGCAGTGTTTGCTAGTATCAGTAAATACAGGTCGCTATACACATGCCCAGCGCCTGCTCCAACGTATGCTAATTGGCACACTCCAACAGCCTTGGAGATGCATGTATTCAGCATCCCACACTTGAAAATGGCGGCAGGGAAGCTTATCTAAGGCTTGCTTGACAAGCGTTAGTTAAAGTGCTTCTGGTGCCATTTTGAAATATGGGACACTGAATACATGAGATGCTGCAGGCACGCTTCCGAGAGCCCCCTTACCCACCCTGGAGCACCTATAGAGATTAACAGTGCATTAGCTACTACGCAGTAGTGCACGTGTAGATGCTGACCAGGAGCAATTTGCTCTCTGACCCGCTGCTGCCTGGCTGAGCCCTGATGTGGGGGAAACTGTGCCAGCTGCAAAGACAGCTGTCTCCCCGCCACGTGGGGATCAAGACCCATCCCGATCCCCATGTAGCAAGGAGAGCTGTCCTGACAGCTGAGAATGCTGTGTCCCAGTCACATGGAGATCAGATCTCAACCCAATCTCCATGTGTCTTGGATGCAGCCGTCCCAGCTGCTGGGACAGCACTCCCCTACCCTATGGAAATCAGGACCAGCCCCTGTGCCCCCTGCCAGCCATGGGCTGGCACTCAGGGGAGGCTGGAGCTCCCCCTGGCTGCTGCAGGGCAGGAGCAGCCCTGGAGTGAACTGCTTCCATCAGAAGCAAAGTTGCTGCCCATGGGCATACATTCACATGCATGTGGGGGCACAGTTTAATGCACCTGAATTTTCTGTGAAGAAAGTTCAGGCTTATTAATTGCATGTGTAGACACGCCCAATTTGAAGTGTTCAAACACTATGGTAATGGGAACAACTGGAATACTTTAGAGAGAATATAACACAAGGGCTAAGTACAGACAGTCAAAAAGGCTGAGGCTGAATCCATTCAATCTTCACAGGTTAGTTTAAGCTGCGTAGATTAA